TACATTTATTTATACTGTGGAATATTGTTTAATGATGCAAAGATATGTTACATTCCAACATGTTGCATTTGTCTAACTCTGTAAAGCTGTGTTACTTAGCCTGTGATTTGGTCTAATAATGAGCTGAATGGCCAATAGCTAGGCAGGAGAGAGAAATAGGCAGGGCTGGCAGGCAGAGAATATAAACAGGAGAAGAAGAAAGAAGGGGGAAGAGCAAAAGAAGAAGGAGAGGAGGATGCCAGGAGCCAGCCACCTAGCCATGGAGTAAGAAGGAAAGAAAGTTATATAGACTAGAGAAAGGTAAAAATCAACTAATATATACGTGTGTGTGTGTGTGTGTGTGTGTGTGTGTGTGTGTGTGTGTGTGTGTGTGTGTGTGTTTTAATTAGGAAAGAGAGGGAACAGACAGGCAGGAGCCAGAGCTGTGACTATGTTCCAGTACGGATTTGGTCTTTATATTGTCACATGACCTTGAACAATTCCTTTCTCTTCCTCACTGTAAAATTCAGAGTGGTATGACCTCTGAAGGCCCCTCCATGCTGCCCCAAGTTGTCAAGTCCCGTGACCTTAAGCAGTGCTTACCCATCTAAGACCTTTTTTTCCTCCAGCTCCCCCCTCCTCTCTCCTATTCCCCTAAATGCTCTGGCATCCTGCCTGGGAAGGACAAAGTTAACAGATGCTGCAAATGACCAAGGTTAAGCCACCCGTGATGTAAGAACAAATCAAAGTCACGCACCCATGGTTTCTCAAGAAACCTTTCACCCAGCCTGGCGACCAGAACCACAGAAGCCTTCACTCCTGCCACCAGACACAGAGAGATGGACAGCCTTGTGTAAATGCACTCAACAACTGGAGCTTTAAGGTAGCCAACTCCCAGGGCCCCAACGGCTGAAGTTCAGACCTCAATGGCTAGGACTCCACTGGCCGAGAACAAAAGAAAAACCAGTTGGCAGATTAAAACTGGTTCTTATTATGCAAATTCATAATGTAAACAAAGTTGGAAAGAACCTAGCCAGCTTGGAGGGAACATAAATTATCAAGTGGGAGGGATACAAAGCAATCACCCACTCGCCCCCAGTTCTGAGTGTTCCTCACTTCCTGATAGTACAGCTATGAACCATGGAGTTAACAGGAAACCCCAGGCTCCCCATCTCCGCTTCTCACTATGCTAGCACACACACGTTTGTCTGAGAACTTAAGGAACACTTTTTTCCTAACAGAAGGCAAGCTCACTACACTAAATGGAACCATACTGAAACTGCTGTTATCCTATATCAGAAATAATAGATATTGACAATTACATATGGTACAAAACCACCCTTTTATGGATGTCGGCAAACTCTTCTAGACAGTGCTGTGTATCCACCCTCACAAAATACAGCAGAGGTCTCCAAGCCCCAAGGCAATGAATAGCTTACTATGACCCTCCAGATGGGGACAACCGCAAGCGTTCCCCCAAAACTGTTGAGTTAAATACGAAATTAACACAAGATGGAGTACGGGACATGTCCATAAGTGTCTGAGAGACCACATAGTTACGGTGAAACAGACACAATCAGAGGGAGAAGACCGAGCAGTTGAAGGTCTGCCTGTAACTTAGCAGCTGATCCTCCACCAGACAAAAGGGGTAGGAACGCCTCAAGGTGAAGGGTACTGCCATTAGAATTGGGTGTTCAGCGAAAGGGGAGAAAGAGATCAGCAAGCAGTGTATGCGGTGGGAGGCAGCCTGTGAGGGCATGGGGACCTTTGACGGCACCAGTGAGGGTTTTATCCCCAACTGGACTCAGCTAGGCTCAGAACAGAGACCCCCAAACAGCTCTGGTGTATCACCTCCTCCAGGAAGCCAAGCTGTTCCTTCTCTTCTTCTTCCTCTCACTCGCCTCCTGGCCCTTTTTTTTTTTCTCTGCCCCCAGGGTGAAGGACTGGGAAGGAGATTGTCCTTTAGCAGAGTTCATGGCCGTCCAAACCTCTAGTGCTGATGATAAAACAAGGCAAACGAAGCAGAAAGAGAAAGAGTTCCTAGAGTAAGAACAATAATAATAATAATAATAATAATAATAATAATAATAATAATAATTTTAAAAAATTGAGTGAGTTGTAAGGTAACAAACACTCCCTGAAGCAGTCAGCTCAAATGAACCCCAGGGTCATCAGCACAGAAACATCATGGAGCTTGTCTGGTTTCCTTTTGCTGCCAATCCATGCTCTCGGTCATCCTGTGAAATGGGTGTTTAACCCCCAAGTCCATCCTTCCAGACAGAACGAGCCTGTGTCTCTCCCTACAGGAAGAGAGAGATCTGTGAGGAGTGTGGGAACAGGGAGTGGGGTGAGGAGGTACTGGGGAGCCATAGGAAAGACCAGAGAGGAGGCACAGCGGACAGTGAGGTCACGGGGTGACCACCGAGGGACTGCCCCGGAGCACAGGCAGGAGCAGTTCTACTTAGTACTGATTCAGAACGTTCCCTCTGCTCCCCGCCAGTTGAAACCTACTCAGATTCCTGGACAACGAGTTGTTTTCACTACATCTCCTACACAGCGTCCCTCAGGGCCTGTTCTAGCTTCACGGTTATTCTAGAAATGCCTGTGAGTGACTACGTCTGGTTTCTGGATCAGGAAAGGAAAGGGACCCGGTCCAGGATGCCCCTTTGACTCAGACACCAATTCTGACTGCACTTGCTGCTCGTCTTCTCTTCGGGAGCAGCTGTTCTGTGTGTACCTCAAATCCAGTCCCCTGGGTGGCAGCTCAGAGGCCAGCTTTGGAATCTGCCTCCCTGGGCTCAAAGCCCGGCTGCGTGACCCACCGTGTGAACTTCCCAAGCTTACCTCAGCTTCTGCATCTTCAAATGAAGATGGAAATCAACTCTAGGTGCTGGGGACGTTGCGGGAAGATAAATGAGATGATGTCAGCAAAATACTCACTTAGGTCTGTCTCCTGCTGCTGCTGCTGCTGCTGCTGTTACTCCAGCAATGGCCATTTAAGCAGGCTTCAGTTACTTCACTACTGGTTAGAAAATCTTTAATAAGGATCCCAACTCCTACTTTTACGTCATAAAACCTGCATTTACGACAACATCAAAAAGGCATTTTGGTTGAAAAATGTTTTCCCAAACGAGTAGAATTCTGATGGCACACTCATGTAAAAAATAAATAAATAAATAAAAGCAAAAAAAAAAAAAAAAAAACCCAGCCAGTTTAGAAGCAAACTCTTTCTTTGTGTCTATCTCAGACGTCACAGACATAGCCAGAAGAATGGGGAGCTCTACAGGGACCGACACCCACTATATAGGTTTTCAATGAGATGCATCTCCACACATAGAATGTGGCACAATAAATCCCTGTGGCTTCCCTGTTCAAAAGAGCTCAGGGACCAAACCGGCGGCCAGCCTGACAGCACCAGTTAGCTTCTTGCTATGTCTCCAAAATGGAGTCTGAGGCTACATTCCCTCCATGTGGGATGGGTCTGTGATGTTGGCTCTGGCAATGATTAGTGTGTTTCCTTTTGTGGTGTGGAGTTTCTGTGTGAAAGCAGCCATCCCTCTGTCTATGGCAGTTGGAAAATGCTGGCTCATTTTGTGGCCTTCGAGATTCAGCACTCACTGCTCTGCATAATGACCCACATCTGTGTGTCTGTGTATTTCTCCTTTCCTCCACTCACCAAGTGGCTCTGTGCTGGTGAGTGGGTGGGCTTACCCAGGTCCATTCAATGTTCACGTTTTTTGTCCTGGAAGCACAAATTATTATAAAATTCAAAACGCACTGGAAACACATCCAGATAAGGCATACTATTCATTTATAGATCTCAAACACCTACATGTTTAATCATTTTAATTATTTTACATGAGGCAGAATGATTTAATCACTGATGTGTTCTTCTACCTACCAACCGCAAGCATATGGAACAAAAAAAACTAGCATATCATTGGGTATACTCAAAACAAAACACATGTGCATGTGCAGATACACATGTGTCGGGGAGTGTGCTCATGGGTGCATATGTATGTAAAAGTAAGAGGACAATCTGGAATATCATTCTTCAGTGATAAGCTAGGCTGGCTAGCCAATGAACCCATCTACTTTTTAAAAAAAAAAAAAAAAAAAAACTGAAGCCGGGCGGTGGTGGCGCACGCCTTTAATCCCAGCACTCGGGAGGCAGAGCCAGGTGGATCTCTGTGAGTTCGAGGCCAGCCTGGACTACCAAGTGAGTCCCAGGAAAGGCGCAAAGCTACACAGAGAAACCCTGTCTTGGAAAACCAAAAAACAAAACAAAACAAAACAAAACAAAAACTGTAGGTTTTGAGGATAGAACTCAGGTCCCCATGAGAGCACATCACCTCAGTTGCCATGACAAAATTCTTGACATTGTGACAGGAGTATTTCCCTTCTGTGGTGGTTTGAATGCAAATGGCCAGCTGAGCAGCGGTGGTGCACGCCTTTAATCCCAGCACCAGGGAGGCAGAGGCAGGTGGATCTCTGAGTTTGAGGCCAGCCTGGTCTACAGAGCAAAATCCAGGACAGACTCCAGAGCGACACAGAGAAACCCTGTCTTGAAAAACCAAAGGAAAAAAAAAAAGAAATGAAAAGAAAAGAAGGAAAATGGCCTACAGGTTCATAGGGAGTGGCACTACTAGGAGGTGTGGCCTTGCTGGAGTATATGTAGCTTTGTTGGAGGAAGTGGGCTACTAGGGCAAGCTTTGAGGCCAAAGAAGCTGAAGTCTTGCCAGTGTGTCTCAGTCACCTTCTGCTTCCTGCAGACCAAGATGAAGAACTCTCAGCTCCTTCTCCATCACCATGTCTGCCTGCACGCTGCCACGCTTCTCATCATGATGATAATGGACTAAACCTCTGAACTGTAAGCCAGCCCCAATTAACTGTTTTCCTTTATAAGGCAACCATAGTCATGGCTGTCTCTTCACAGCAACAGAAACCCTAAGACACCTTCCAAGCCAGTGATGGGATAGTAGGATATACTTACTTGACATAAAAAACATACAAACAAGGCATTCTCCATACTGAATTAGAAGTTTATTGGGCTCCTAATTCCCATGTCTGGAACATGAACATGGATTTACATGCATTGTCTCATGTTGTAGCTCTCACATGCATGTCATCTTCGGTCAGCTGGACTTCTGCTCTATCGTCAGTAATTGATAGTGAGCTCAATGTGAGTGAATATGACAAATACAGAATGATGCATAAGCCGTAACAATAAATCCTTCCCAGTATCATTTACTTTGTTCCCCCAAAAACCCATATTACAACTCTCTCTTGTAAAAAATAAATTTCAGAACAAGGCATTTAATTTTAACCTCACTGAGAAAAATAAAGATAATTCTATCATCTCGAAATTCAGCAATGAATGTCCAACTATGGCTAAAAGGTACACCCTGAGAATTAAATGATTTATTTGAACAAACCCATTCAGGTTTATAAAGCTGTGTTAACCTAATGTCAGGAAGGGACACAAGAGACCGGTGCAAATGCCCCTACTCATTTTGTGGTACAGTTCTCCAGGGATGCAGTATTGTAAACATCCTCATTGTCTTCAATGCTAGAAGCATCGGTGGAATCAGGATCACTGACCACGATACCAATGGAAGACAGACTGGTAATGAAGGCATGGACTTGCTGTGCATAGACATCCCTAATGTTAAAGTAAGGTAGCTCAGGGCACTTCTCCGGTGGGTCCTCACTGCACGGGTCCACATCCATGTCCTTCTGCTTCTGGTAGTACTTGGAAAACTTGTTGAATATGATGGTGATGGGAAGGGCTACCACCAAGATGCCACAGATAATACATGTGCTTGCAATGATCTTCCCGGCTAAGGTGACCGGATGGGTGTCTCCATAGCCCACGGTGGTCATACTGATAGTGGCCCACCACCAGCAGATGGGGATGCTGGTGAGACTGGATGTAAGTTCATCTTTCTCCACAGAGTAAATAAGCACGGAGAAGATCGAGATACCCACTGAAAGGAAGAGAAGCAGTAACCCCACTTCATGGTAACTGTGCCTCAGCGTGGCCCCCAGAGACCGAAGCCCTACAGAGTGCCGGGCAAGCTTCAGAATTCGGAATATCCTCATGAGCCGAAGGATTTGGACCACCTTGCCCATATTCTCAATGTCCTCGCTCTCTTCTTCCTTGGTGTCCACAGCCAGCGTGGCATAGAAGGGAATGATGGAGACGAAGTCGATGATGTTCAGAGGGTTTTTCCAGAACTTCTTTTGAGAAGGGGCAGCCACCAGCCGGATGGCCAGCTCGCCAGTGAACCATGCAATGCACGCGATCTCCACTCCTTCCAGCACAGGGTCATCCACTTCTCCGTCCTCGTTCTGGAATTCCGACATGCTGTGCACACACATGGCCACGATGGAGGCCAGCACCACGCTCAGGGAGGAGATGGCAATGAGCTTGGCCGACAGGCAGTAAGCTGGGTTTTCCATCCGAATCCAGATTTTCTTTCGCAGCTGACCAAACCTCAGATCGTCAAACTTCTCCAGCTCTTTCTCAAACAGAGAGGATTCTTCAAAGGAGGAGTCCGTGCTGACATCATTGCTCTTCTGGTCCCAGTCCCTCTCGTGACTCTCCTCCTTGCGCTCCTGGTATCGGCTGCTGCAGCAGGAGTCGATGAAGAGCTCGTTGATACCCCAGTACTCGATCTCCTGGCAGAAGGAGAACACACACAGCTCCTCCATGACGTGCAGCTTCCCCGTGTAGTAAAAGTTCAAAACGTATCTGAACAGGGAGGGGTTCCGGTCGAAATAGTACTCTTTATCCGCCACGCTATAGTCATCACACAGCTCTAGAATGGCCTCTTCAGAATGGCAGGTCAGCAGCTTCCCCAGTCTGGTGTGAGGGAACCGTAGGAGCGTGCTCTGGTCCACAGACTGCTTAAAGCCCCCTACGTTCAAGTTGACAAGTTCCTCGTCTTGTCCAGGGCGATGGAAAAACTCACCAAACACCATGATGGATAGAGGAGGCAGAGTGCTGGCCGGGAAGGGAGATGCCCAAGATCACATTGCACCTAGAAGGAGCACAAGACAATATTAGCCTGTGCCCAGTCCTGCCTCATCAGGACTTATTTTTAATCTGCCCTTTCCAGAACGATGGGCTGCACCGAAGGCAAAACAGGAAATGCATTGACAAGAAGACAAGCACATTTCAGGGGTGTCTGGAGGGGGTTCAAAAGCTTGAGCTTAAAAATCTAGTTTTGCAAAAGAAAACCTACAATATCATTTGATGAAACCTAATTCCTATTTCTCTATTAAGCACTCAAATTTCATCTTCTGCCTCTCTCTCTCTCTCTCTCTCTCTCTCTCTCTCTCTCTCTCTCTCTCTCTCTCTCTCTCACACACACACACACACACACACACACACACACACACACACACACACACACACACACACAGAGAGAGAGAGAGGGGGGGGGGGCTAAAAAGCAATGCAATTCTGACCACTTACTTGCACAATATAAACACATCTACAGTCTCAACCACGATGCTCTCGACAAGTCAGCTGCTGTAGGGCTTGTAGCCTACATCTGTCCATCCCAAATTCAGCCACCCACCCAGGGAGAAAGTGCTCTCCTCTTCTCCACATTTGATCCATGAGAGACAGAGAACAGCTTTTATGGCGACCGTGGGTTTCACTTTATGCTCCAGGGATGTGCTCTTTTAGAAGAGCCCATTATTTATGTTTGGGGACCGACACTCAAGAGGATATAATTATCTCCCCGTAATTAAGCACCTTATATCTTGCAGATATCATTACACTTCCCAGGATGGGGTTTCAGGACTATCCACATGGAAAGAAACTGGATGGGGAAGACCCTTTCAAGTTAAACATGCTGGTTCTTGACACGAATAGTCTTCTCTCACAGTCTCCAACACAGAATCATCGAGAATTATTGTTCCATCAATGATCTACATTGTTTGGGTGCATGATCTGCTTTTAGTTCTAACACTAACCAGGGTATATTAGATCTATTCATCAGAGAGAAAATATGGCGGGGGGGCTGAGGGAGTAAAGTTCTGTTTTTAACTTTATGAATATGTATATGTGCCACATGTGTACAGGTGCCCTTGGAAGCCAGAATAAGGCATGGATGCCCTGGAGCTAGAATGAATACTGTGAACTGAACCCAGATCCTCAGCAAGAGCAGCACAGCTGACTGAACAGAATGGCAGAGGGAGCTCTCAGCAGAGGGTTTCAGAGGTGGGCAGCAGGAGGGCTGTGAAGGGGCCAGTACACCAGTCTGAAGAAACTGGATTGTATTCTGTCAGCAAGACTATAATGAACTGGGCTCCCATTTCAACAGGACACTGTCATCTACAAAGCTCATGCTCAAGAACCATGCAACTGAGTTAAAAGGGAAAAAAATCTATCTCAGTGTTGGTATTGGACCCATTCACAGCTGATTTGAGCTGCGTGCAGCCAGCAGACGGCAGGTTGGACATGCGTACAAGTAAAGAGCCTTTGTAAGTGTATTTGTGACCATGACTTAGACCCAGTCAGACTCAGCCTTCCATGCTTCGTCCATGACACTCTACAAGGCCTTTACCATGCTCCTTGGCCACGAGAACCATAAGTAAAAACAGTTTTCTTTAAAACTTGAAAAGCAATAATAAAGTATCAATTCCACTGAGGGAAGACTGGAAGACCTCTCCAGGGGAAGATGGAACACAAGAGAAAGGGGCACACAGCACTGGGGTGAAGCAGGGACTCAAAATGGATGTGTTGGGAAGGGAACCCTCATAGAGAGAAAGTGTCAAGTTCAGGACTTTACAAAGAACAATTGACAGGACATGGCACTTGGTTCAAGAGAAGAGAGAAATACATAGACAGGGTAAAGGAGAATATAATTTCTAACCTGCTTACAGTTGTGAACAGGAACACCATGAAAGGATACAAAGTCAGGAAGGGAATCTCTCTTAGGGCCAGCAAAAGCTACCAGCAAGAGAAAAGATTACTGCTCTGAGAGACAGAGATACACCACAGGTCATGTCACAACCTTAAAACAGAGCCTCTGCCATCCACTCCAGGAGAAAGTCTACAGTCATAAAAAAAAAAAAAAAATACTCGGGTGTTTGCCTCCAAGACATCAACGCTTCATCGAGCCAAAGACCAGAGCTTGGCTAATGTATCTTCAGTAAATTTGCTGACCTCTTCCAAAAATTCAATTTGCCTCCCTCTGCTTTCTGTTTTTAATTAGGCCTCTTCTTTGAAAGGCCTAAGTCCGAGCTGTTGCCTTGGTCCAAATATTTATGCAACATCAGGTCTCTGATGGCCAGCGCAGGCTAATGGCACATAGGGTTGGAAAAATGCTCCTAGGAGCTAGTTCAGCTAAGCTGCCACTAAGACTTTAATGGAAGCTGTGTCTTCTGGGGGATTGTTTTTCATCTTGGCTGTCCTGGAACCCCACAGTGACAGAACGGTTCTTGACACTACAGGCATATAAGGGTCTCATAATCAGGGCCTGTAATCCACCTCCCCAATCTCTCCCTAGTGACCTTTCTAAAGTACACGATTCACCCACCGTGTCCACATTCCCACCACGTCCTTCTGCTTCGTCCTTCCTGCATTTTCTCTAGTCCACACTGGTGAAGGAAAGGTCCATCATAAAGTCCATCCGTCTGCTCCACAGAGTCTCATCATAAAAGCAACACACATCATAAAACCAAAGATCTCATTAGGGGGCTTTCGGGGGGGGGGGGGAAGAGATGGAAGAAAGCATTGCTGGATGAGACCCAACACTGCAGCCCTAAAGGCAAGTTTGCATGTGCAGAGTTGGGACTGCATTCCTTGACGGCAATCGGACCCACAGCAGCCCACTTGGAGCAGGGGAGACGAGGTTTCTACCTCTACAAAATGCATTAAGAGTCCCTCTATGCAGACCATCTTTTTTCCAATTATGGTATATCCTTATATGTTTGTTTGTTTGTTTTCTCATCGTGGGAATTGACAGATATAGAAACAAACAATCTGAGACAAGGAACGGAGGCAGAGGTCTAAACTGGGAGCTTGGTACTCTGCATGCTTCAGCATTCCAGCTCACACGCTCAAGATCACATGGATAAAGCATGCTACTGTACATCATCACTTCCAAGGATGCTGTATTCAGGCCAGCATTTTTTTTTCCTTTTTTTTTTTTTAATTAACTTTTTTCCTTTATTTTACATACCAACCACAGTTTCCCCTCCCCCCCACCTCCCATTCCTTCCCACGACTGCCTTCGACCCACCTCTCCATCCACCCACTCCTCCTCCATCTCCATTCAGAAAGGGGGCAGGCCTCCCATGGGCTTGAACATAGCATGGCACGTCAAGTTCAGGTATGACCGAGCTCCTCCCCCTGTATTAAGGCTGGGCAAGATAATCCAGCATGGGGAACAGGTTCCCAACAGTCAGCCAAGTGCCAGGGACAGGTCCTGGTCTCACTGCTAGGAGCCTTCCAAACAGACCAAGCTACACATCTGTCACACACATGCAGAGGGCCTAGGTTGGTCTCATGTAGGCTCCCTAATTGTTAGTCCAGAGTCCATGCACTTCTGAGCTCAGGTTCTGTGGGTTCCGCAGTCATGACCTTGACCCCCCCCCCCCCCCCCCCCCCCCCCCCCCGGCTCATACAATCCCTCTTCCCTTTCTTCAGGAGGACTCCCAGAGCTTGGCCCAGTGCTTGACTGTGGATCTCTGCATCTGCTTCCATCAGTTACTGGATAAATGTTCCGTGATGACAATTAGGATAGTCACCAATCTGATTATAATGGAAGGCCAGTTCAGGCACCCTCTCCACCACTGCTAGGGGTCTTAGCTGGGGTCATCCTTGTGGATTCCTGGGAGTTTCCCTGGCATCAGTTTTCTCCCTAGCCCTCCATCTACCCCCAAACCATCTCCTTCACCCAGCCCACCGAACCCTCAAGTTCCCATCCCTGCACTCCACCCCCACCCCCAGTTTACCTAGGAGATCTCTTCTATTTCCCCTTCCCAGGGAAATCCATGCATCCCTCTTGGGCCATCTTTGTTATCTCAGGCTAGCCTGTATTAAAATCCATTCATTTGTTCCTTTCAGGAACATTTAGTGAGTCAAAGGTACACATCTGTACTACGTGATATAGCCGTGTTTATATACACAGGCAGTTACATACACTTGGCTCTCCATGTCTATGCAGGTCCACACTGGAGGATTCTAGCAACTACAAACCAGTGGATGCAAATACTTACTGCTGTGACTGACAATGTAATTTAATCCTTGGGTCCCACATGATGGAGAGAATCAGCTCCCACAAAGTTGTCTTCTGACCTCCACCCACAAACGATGGCATGTTTGTGTACATACACTAAATAAATAAGCCTCTGTAATTCAGGGAAAAAAATGCATGTATTGCAACGATATACACAACGAAAGATGATTTAACTTTAAGATCAATATAAATTACATGAATACAAAAATGAATTCAAATCTATCGACTTGAACACATTTGCATTTTCTTTAATATTGGCACAGTAAAATGTCAAGAAACACGTTCGATCATGTGAGAGTTGTACTTCATGCCCCACTAGCAACATCTGTTTTCTTAACAGATGACATGACCATGTCATTGAGAGGCTGGATTTCAAGACTGAGGAGACGGTAATGCACCTGGCTCAAAGGCATGAGTCCTCAAGTTCAGATCCCAGCACCCACACAAAAGCCACGTGGGTGTGGCAGCCCATCTGTAACCCCAGCTGCATGGAAAGTAGACATGGGGGATTCCCCAGAGCAAGCTGCCTAGCCGGACTGTGTGAAACCGTGGTCTGAGGGGTCAGCAGGAGATCCTGACTCAACATACAAAGGTGAAACTCCACAGTGGAAGACACTTGGCATCATCCTTGGGCTTCCATGCACACACAAGTACACATGCACCTGCCTATATGTACCACACACGTGAACATGTATACACACATGCATACACACCCACACACACATAAAAAATACGTATGAAAGAAAGAAAAGAGGGAGGGAGGGAAAGACGGAAGAAGGAACAAA